ACGAGCTCTACACTAACTGTGTGTACAAACTCAGAAAAAAGAACCAAAAGTGGCTGCAACATATTTATATTCATCCGATTATGATGGGACATCGGAGTTTCGTATAGGCACTTAATAGCTTCCACGAGCAAATTGTTTGTTCGAATCAGAGAATAAAGATTCTCTTATGAGTTTTTTGTACAACTCTCCTTGCTCTATCATTTAAAAGAAAAATCCGAATTTTATCATTTTCTCAACTCAGGATATCAGTCAAATAACATATGTCGCAAAACTATTGGTACACCCGGTACATGACTCATGTATATATCATTATCTTTTCCTTCCTATTTGTTATATCTTTTTCTTGGAGTCACCGCTTTATTTGTTATTAAACAACCAGACCGAACGAAAGGAGAGAAAGAAGAAACAACGGACAGCCTGGTTATAAAGCTGGCAGGAGAAAGAAGAGACGCATGACTGATGTCTTATGTCTCGTAGAGAAAAGAAAAGAAAAGAAAAAGAAAAAAGACAGAGTTTGATATGTAGCGGTGTTGGTTGGGTTTGAACGCGAGGTGTTGGAGGGTATTGTAGTGGTAGTTATCTTCGAAGGAACGTCGACGTATATGTGCAGGAGCGAGCCGATGTATACGTCGATGATCGTCTTTTCTTCGTTCTAGATCAAACGTTTTGTGCGTGATTCCGATATAACAATTTTCGCACAGTTTCGGCCGACCTGAGAATGATCTATGTTCTCGACGCTAACGTTAATAGTGGAGAGTGTTGTTTCGCGCTGCCGTTAACATAGCATGTAGAACGGATGAAACCGAATATCGAAGATGTGTACGTCACGTATAGTCGTTAGCTGTCTTCACAAGGAGAGACCGAAAGATGGTCGGGTTGTCTTAGAGGTTGTCGTCATAGTCTGTGGATTTGTGTGTTGTCGGTGATGTAGTCTGTGTCAGTAGTCATTTGTCTTAGATCTGCCGTCGTCATGTGAGACGACGGAGATAGTCCTTTGCATTGGAGCTGGTGTTTTGTCATAGTTGGTCTGCGATGTCCTGAAAGTGTTGGAGGAGCGTTTGATCTTTGTTTGATGAGGCTGTGTTAATGGACTTGTGGAGCAGTGATGTTGCATATTCTTCGATTTTCGGTGTTTCGGATATCCGATGTATATATTCGACAGAAGTATAGATCCGCAGGCCGAGGGTAGCGCGAAGCGCTTTGTTTTGGATGATTTGAAGCCGATCCATATGGTGGGGAATATGATTTTGTAGCAAAATCATTTATGTTAAAAGCAAATGAATTTGTGAAAAACTAATATTAACTGACGTCACTACTATAGGGGTCTATGTGGTCTTGGTGGTTTTGGTGGTCTTGGTGATCTTTTGGAGAGATGCGCGTAATATATCGTATTGTGATTTATACAAAAAACTAATTCTTTCTTACACAGTCGAGGGTTGAGTGAGTCGCAATGACGAACGTTACTTGCTGATGTCAGGCGACATATCTTCACTTGCAAATCTTCCTTACATTACCGTCATAGAACTTGCTCGATGTCTTTGTCAGTATAAATTCAACTCTTTATATATCCATATCTAAATCACGATTTTTACAGAATTACAAAAAATATCATATCTCACAGACCACCAAGACCACCAAAAACCACCAAGACCACCAAGATCACCAAGACCACATAGACCACAATATCATATAAATCAAATAGACCACCAAGACCACAGAGATCTTAATACGGGTACGTGTAAAAATTTCGAAAGAAAAACATCGAAATGAAAACATCGAAAAATGGAATTTCGAAAAAAGTAAAGATCGAAAACCTGAAATTTCGAAATTACCTCTATTAGAAAAGGAANTACGACATTGAAAAACTCTTCAGGTGTTTCCTTTAACCAACACGATACAATTCTGTGATTTTACTTCCTGAGCACTATGACCTTTGGCTAATAGAACATGAATCAATAATATATTTCTATCATAAACCGCTACTGGAAAACCATCTCCTTTGTAAGCTCATCTTCTATTTTTATAGGAAGCCTAAGTAACAGATAGAGTACTATGGTACAATAACAATCGAACGAGTGGAAAATAGATTTACTACTGATGAAGCAAGCAAAGCTTAACAAAAGTCGTATATTGTGAAACATGTTACTTTCACTAAGTAGTTACCACAGCTACGCTTTGTCCTATCGCTATATTGTATGTCTGTAAAAAAGTTGATTTTTTAAAAATATTTCAAGCATCATGTAGCTTCTAAACCCGACTAGATGCTGTAATCAAAACGTGTAGCAATGTATAATATACGTGAAGCTTGGAAAAGCGTAGACGACTCGTCTAATCTATGATTGCATTACTTTATAAAAATATCGAGAGTTTCGAACGATTGAAAGTAGTGTAAGTGCAGTTAAACTCATTCGAATTAAATATTTTACTTTTCGTTTACACAACGAATTTCATCTAATTCTAAGCTTCGTTTCGTTAGTACACTGCATCTATCTGAAATAACTCACCTGATATTGCTTCATCTAAAAACTTCGTAATCCCACTTTTACGAAGATCGCCAAATGTCCGACCATCCTCGATGATGGCCACAGTTGCTAAATAATCCAAACGATTCTTCTTTTCTCGAGTAACTGAGTTATTCGAAGTTGGTTTTGGACGTGAAGCAGGTAATAAAGTTAAATGCGTTAGACGATGTTCTTTTATCAAATGTTTTCTTAAGGTAGATGTTGCACCATTGGTGGTCTTAATACGTGTTTTGCATTTTAAACATTTGGCCATTCCATTTTTAAGCTTTTCTGCATACTGCCATACATTGGATTTCAACTTCTTTGCACCTTCCTGGGTATTATCAGTACCACCATGACCAGCACCAATACCATCATTGACTTCTTCTTCTTCAGTCATTGATACATCGTGTTCAACCTGACCTTCATCCATTGTTTGATCATTTTCAATCCCATTTCCGTCGATATCTTCGTCGAGACCGTCATAGGTTGATGCGGAAATAGAATTCGTGACTGTCGCATGTTGTACTCCTCGAGCTTGTCGAGTTCGAGTCATCTCACAATAATAGTTTTGTAATCAGACACTGCCTCGGAATCTAAACAGGCAGATTTTATCAGTATTCAAGTTTCTCCTTCAACAGATACTAGAAAAGTATTAGTATCGTTCAAGTCGTATGACAAGACAGCGTTTCTTTCAGTTAATTTAAGTTCGGTCATCAGTTATTTCTCATATCGTCATGATGAAAATATGTTATTTTATTCCCTCGACTGTAAGGAGGGTCATGTCGAAAAAAAGTGGTCAAAAAACGGAAATTCGTTTGTTTGTTTGTTTGTGTGTGTGTCTGTCGCAGGTCAAAGGTCAAAGGTTAAATGACTATTTTTCTGGAATTGTTCAAAACTTCATGAAACATGGTTTTGAAGCAGTCTTGAGGTTGGGACTTGGTTGAGGGGAGAGTGNTCAATAAAGAAGAGTACAAAAAAACATTTGAAAAATAGATCGAGAGAATGCACTTGTGCATCGATCATTAAGGTCATTATTTTGAACATTTGATCAAATAAACAACTGATAAAGTTAGTCGCCTATTTTCCTATGCCATTATTGTTATTTCTCGTTTACGAAGAAATGAATATATAGTCAGAAATTAGAAGACAAGAAAAAACAACATCGAAAGAAAGAACAAGAAAAAACAAAGAAAAAACCACAACTATTTGTTATTCTGTACTGCTGCCACTAGGTAGATCTCGGCAAAGAAGAGTTTTGTTGAAGTTTCATCGATATAACCTTAGCTTGATATAGATCAATTAGCATAGAAAGATGCAGTTTTCTCGCTCTATCGATTACTAAGAAAAGGTTTTTCTCAAAGCCTACTTATAAGGAAAAAAGGGGTTCCACCACTACTTTTGGAATGCCATAAGTATTTGTTACTTGTTATGTTATTCTTTCTTCTCTTATATATATGTAGAGCCTTGATGAGTATTTCCTTATTTTAATATATAACACGAAACGCGTCTTGGTCTGCTTTGACTCACCCTTACTCTGTAGCTTATAATACCATGTAATAAAAACTGGGTAATGTTAAAGATTGTGGCTAAACGTTTATTCACTGATAATAAGATGCGGAAGGCGACAAATAACAAACAAATCAGACTATCACTGATAAAAAAAAGTGAAGAGTGATAAAGTCTCAAATATGGGCTCATAACTTTTAAATCCGTTTATCGATGTCACCTAGTTTTGATGGAAACTTTTCCCGCTCATAAGTGTATAAGGATTTGCATCCTGTTGCAAACTGATATATCAAGGTGGCAATTTTTTAGTCCATAAACTCTTTTAAACAACGTTCTTGCCGCTTATGTGTGGAAAAAGAGTTTATGAAACAAGAAAGCGGACACCAGTAGGTCTCTTCATAACAGGATGCAAATCCTTGTACACTCATAAACGAGAAAACAGTTCATCTAAGACTAGAAAACGCTGTAAACTAATTTAAGAGTCGTAAGTCTTTGTAGACGGTCTATCATTCTCCATTTTCTCTATCAGCGTACAGGAAAGAAGTAAATAGAACAAATATTGTGGCTGAAATTTTTGAGTCCGTCTGAATTAATAAAGATAGTTAGCATTGATTAATATTAGCGAACGAGTTTCATTGATTGAGGTGCCATCATAGGTCTCAATCTAATGCTCTTTCCAACATATGTAGTTATCAAGAAATGCAACTGGCGAGACTGGATCATATAGATGAACACAAGGTAAACCAGTCACTGCGCCACAATAAGACCACACCAGTTCGATGTTTGATTGCGTTGGTAAACAAAGAATGTTGTCAGCCCAAAGCCATGGCTCTGGTGCATAGGTCGGCTCCGATAAAACGACACATTTTGCAGAAGTTGGACAATCTGTAGGGCGATACCCCCAGGATAGGCCGATGTCACGATTGGTGCACAAATAGTTATTGTCCCATCCAGGAGTCAACTCAAACATACGCACACACCACCAACCGTTGATGTGTGACGCGGCATCGAATCTAAACTGAAGTGGACCATTATTGAGTTTGAAGGGACCAGTTCGATTATTTGCCGCATGCGAAAATGAGCTGTTATCTATCCATTTAGCCATT